GTTTGGACCCTTGTCCATACATTATACTATAGCTTTACCAATATTAATACTAATTATCATTTCTTTTTGCCTAATTAAAAATCCCACTGAATTAAATAAAATGGAAAAACTACTTGTAGCCAACTAGAGCATGGAAAAAAAATAGAAGAGGAGGAGGAGGAGGAGTTGCATCAACCGACATGAGGGTTACCAATAGTAAGTAACAAGCATGAAGAGTAGCGAAGAAGGATCGAGCCTAGAACAGCAGCAACTTGAAACTACTAACTAGTACTACATTTCATCCAATTTCGTCATTTTCTATTTGAAACTACTAACTAGTACATAGTATAACAATTCGAAGGATTTGCTGCAGTTGATCTTTCTCTTCTAATCACTCTGTCTGTAGTTTCAGATTAGAAAGTGAGCAGAAGATATGCGTCTGTCTGATTATATACACACTCGTCTTCTATAGCATAATCTTTGGTTGGATTCCGATGTGAATTTATTTGGTGCCTTATAGTTCTTTACTCTTTTCACCTTCTTCCCCATTCTCATTTGATTTTACTTTGCTAATTGTATTAATTACTAATAGGGACTCCAAATAGGAAAAGCTGCTGAGAAAAGAGCTGCCGATCGAGTAGAAAGAGTTGTAATCGCAACAAAAAAAAAAAAAAAAAAAAAATTGTCAGAATGAGAAACAATAATGATCGAGTAAGTCAAAATTTTGTTGTTTGCAAATTCAATGTATACATATAATATGTTTGTGTATACATATATGCATATGTATACACACACAGACAGAGTACTACTACTACTGCGGACTCAGAAGAAGTACTACCACTAGTCGCTAGTAGTGATAGCAGTAATTTATTCCTTGTGAAGTCAACAAAAAAATAATTTCCTTTTTTTATTCTTTTGGGTAACAAAAAACAATCAGAGCGAGCATTAGCAGAGCCGGCCAGCAGAGATTTGATTCTTCATACATATAATATGCTCACTATAGCATTGCCTCAGGATCGACTATGGAGGAGCTTATTCACAAACCGGGGGTGAAAGGTAGACCGGCGGCTCTTAACCAGCGATGGCCTTGAATGAAAATATCAACCGTGTACAGAGAAGCCTCCCGTCCGTCAATGAAGCGGCTGCGGGTGAAATTCTTGTTCCTGGGTGCCACTGCTCCCGGCCCCCGATTCGCGAACTCCAGATATTCGCTGGTTTTCTCAAAAGTCTCCCCCTGCCACTCAATGTACCCTTGTGGACGGATCAGATCCCCGATCTCCGTCTGCATGATCACCGTCTTTGCGAATTTCTTCCAGGGTCGTCCCAAGTAATTGGCAACCTGGAACCTCACCGGGAACAGCGCATCTTCTGCCACTATTTGGCAGTTCTGCAGCACCAGTCCCGTCCTGTCCTTCTCCAGCTCTTTCCCGTCCGCCGTCACTGTGTTGTACTGGTTCGGCAACCCTTTTCTCACGATGATCACGCTGTTCTGGATCACCGCCGAACCTTTTCCGAAGATGAAGTCGACTGTCCCCGATATGACGCAGTTGCGGTAGAACTGCCTGTGCGTCTGGTAGTAGAGCGTGTCTTGGAATCCCTCCATCTTGCAGTCGAACACTGCCGCCAAGTCTCCCATGATTCGGAGAGCCACGGCCTGATGTCCCTCGGGTCCCGCCGTGTTCCTGAACGTCATCCCTCGGGCCATGAATCTGTCCCCAAGGGCAGAAAAGGTGGCGGTGTTGGAGGTCTGGATGTGCATGATCCCAAAGTTCTTGCTTCCCGTCACGATAGTCCTATTTGCCCCATCTCCGTAGATAAACACGTTGGCCTGCTTCTTGTCCACGATGACGTTCTCCTCGTAGATCCCGGCCTTGACGTAGATGACGTACCTGCCTTGCAAGTTGGCCGGGTAGGCTGCCAGGGCCTGGGAGATGGTTTTGAATTGTCCGCTTCCGTCCTTGGCGACCACGGCATTGGGCAGAACTCCGCCGCGACGGTGCGCTGCCAAGAGCCTGCGATCTCCGGCGGGAAACCATTGTGGGAAACTCTCCTCGTGGCCCATGACGTCATTGCCCTGGAGGAGACGGCGGCCTCCAGCCGGGGGCAGGAAGTTGCCGAGGCTGATGTTGAAACCCTTGAGAAGGTCGGACAAGCTGGCGACGATGCTGACGGCATTGTCGGTGAGCTGAGTGGCGTTAAGCATGCCGTTCTGGAAGGCGCTTCTTAGCTCCGGCTTATCGAATTCGTCGAGGCAATCGGATTGGTAGCTATAGACGGCGCTCAACCAGTTGAGCAACTCGTCCACCCGATCGTTGAGGGTGTGGAGTTCGCTGTCCCCAACGGTGGAGAAAGCAGCTTGGAGCTCGTCGACGGCGTAGCCTAGCAACTCTTGGCAGTCTTGGGCGGCCACGTGATTGTAAGGATCTTGCTTGGGGTCGACTTTTGAGCCGGTGGCGTTGGCGACCTGCAAGGCCTTCTGGACCTCTTGGATGGTAGCGTTGAGGGCAGCCATGAGGTAGTCCTTGGGGGATGCGGTTGCATTGTTGGCGACGGACTCAACACTCTTGGCACAGGCATCTTTGAAGTTGGTGGACTCGCAGAAGGTGGTGACGGATTTCATTGAGGAGCCGGCGACGTTGTTATTCTTCGAATCTTCTCCATGTTTTACAACCGCTACCGCACCGATGATCACTCCGACGACGAGAATCAGGGATACTACTGAAACTACAACTTTTCCTCCCATCATCTTGGCGCCAATAATATACTAGGGTCGAAGATATATATTTTTTTTCTCGTTCTCTGTCTCTCTCTCTGCAAAAAAGAATGAGTTTTTTTTTTTTGTTTTTGGGTGCTAGCACTGAATTTTAATCATAGAGAGAGATCGAGAGAGGAGGAGGAGGAGGAGGAGGGCAGCCTGAGAATCGAAAAGAAAAGCAAAGAAAAGAATGCTCTTCTTTTCTTTGCCTTGGATGCAATGCTTGGCTTGCTTCTGCTTTTGTGCCAAAACCCATCATGTCTTTTTATAGGTACATGAAATAGAGAATGAGCTAAAAATAGAATGGGGGCATCTGTATCTGTGGTGGCGGTGCATTCCGAAATAGCAGCTGCGATTTGACGACCAATTATGACCGTATATTATATGTTACTCTTCTTAATTTCTCCTCTTCTACTGCGTAAAAATAGAGAGTGATGAGTGGCAAAACGCTGTTTTAGCAACGAATTATATAATAAAAAAAAAGCTAATAATAGCAGTTATAAACATCAGCCAATGATAATGATAATTATATTTATTAATAATATCAGCCAACATCTGCATGCATGCATGCAGAGTACTAAACCCGCACGGTGCATACAAAACTCCTCCGTTTTTTTCCTCACCTCAATCATATTATCCTCGGGTCGTTTAGTTTAGCAGTGTTTTTAATCTAATTGGGTGCGTGGACCTGTCGTCTCGTTCTGAGAGGGGTCCATCACTGTCTTGGTCCATAAATAAATTATTTATTGGTTCCAAATGTATGATCATGCCTCCACTCCAATTAACCAAATGTATTTTACTCTTCACCCTTTTATTTCATTCATTTTTTTCTTTTTAATTTTTTTGGGTAATAACATTCATCCTTTTTATTTTATTTTATTCTCTTGGGTCAAACACGATTCCTATTGAGAGACATCTCTCAGTTTTTCTCACTGAATATATATATATGATTAATCTTCTATAAATTGACAGTGTATATATTTTTACTATTGGATATATGACACATAATCTAAATTTGAATTTGAAACTCAAATTTTACATCAGTATCGTGCGTCCAATCGTGATAGTGTATAGGATTTATTCATATATATATATATATTTTGCGGTCAGCAGCAGTCATAAGTCTTGATTTTCGTATATTAATTCCTAACTCCCATCAAACTGTTACTCGCCCAAGTCAAATTGCTTTACTCCGCACGCATTGCCTTGTTTGGAGGGGATTCAAAAAAGTAAACTGGAAGAAATGCTACTACTGTGTTTTTGCATCAAGCCCACCACCACGGCGACGTAGCTGCCTGCATAAGAATTCGATACTGAAACCTATGAAATCCTCACTGTCAGGGTCATCTGTACGAAAATCTAACGACAAACAGCGTGCTCCTTCTTTCTTTTCTTTTTTTTTTTTTGGCACCAAAATAGTTATTTAACTATTATAAAGTATGCTTTTGTTTGTTACCTTAACTAACTTGCACCAAACTACTCTTAATTGAGAGTGAGTAGTATTTTTTTCGCCCCTCACGGGATGGCCCAGCGGAAAGCCGGCTTTTAAGAACTTTTGCGGTCCTGGATTAGAATCTTATCCTGAACTTAAACTCCGTGACTCGCTCGGGATCACTGTGTGGAGCCGTGGCGCACTCCTCCGATTTGATGTGCCGGCTCGGGTCCTAAAGATTCGAGTAGGGCATGTTCTGAATTACCAAAAAAAAAAAAAAAACTTGCACTTTTGTTTTGTTTTGTTTTAAGGTAGTGGAATGAATATTTTGACTAAACACTAAAAGGTTTAGTCACCCAAACACAGGATTCTACGCGAAGACTCTGGGGCGAGTCCATCAACTCTTCAAGAGCGTCAAGGTCCACCAAACTGAGTCGGGATCTTCTGTCCAATATTTTGTATCCATTTTCTTATTCAATATAAAATTACGTAATTTTACTTATTGTATCTATTACTGTGACACATACAAAAGAAAGACTGTTTGGCTTCCTCCAGCATAAGAACTAATTTCTAACAAGTAAAATTCATTTAAAGGGAGTTAATATCATTAAAAAGTGAACAAGATTACTTTGATACAGCCAAATCATCACAATCAGAGTAAAATGCTTTGACACAGCCAAGTCCCAGGGCTTAAGTGAAACCCAAAAAAGAAGAAAGAAGAAGAAGAAGCATAAGGCAGCCAAACAGTCTTTCTTTTTTATGTACCATATCAACAGATATAATAAGTAGAACTATATAGTTTTGCATTAAATAGAAAAATTGACACAAAATATTCGACGGAGAATCCAGGCTCAAACAAACCAGTACCATTTAGTACTACTAAATAAACAACACAAAAGAAAAAAATTAGAAGGAACGGGAGGGGAGGGGGTATACGACTATACGAGAAGAAGGCATGGAGGGAGAGGAGGCCAAATTGCTGCTAGGATTTCCTCCTCATTCTCATCCCTCTCCATCCCAGGTAGGAGGATTCGAATTCCATAATCATCAGCCGGTTTGGTCATTACTATATTAATTGAGCAAGCATGTATGTAGAATTGGCCCCAATTCCTTCCTTGTACTTTTGAATTCTATTCGGCTGCCATCCAATTCGAGATTCGTCATCGGACCATTCTATCTATGATTGTGGTTAGCCAAGTAGCTAGCTGGTAGTCGCTATAAAATTTTTGAGATCCCTTATTGTTCAGCTTTCTTGTACTACTGCTGTTATTGTGCCTTTAATACCTGTAATTTTTTTTTTTTTGTTTGGTTTTAATGGCAAGTGAAGTGGAGGGATACTACTCCGTACTTATTGTTCTTTCTCTCTCGGTCTCTCCTTCTTTGTTGGGTTTATGTACTGCTTTACTTTGTACGGAATTAGTGAATGGCAGTATCGCTCATGATTGATTCAGGAATAGATGATGGATGGATGGACGGACTACATCTTGATTGATGAATAACCTACAGTTAGAGAGAGTAGTTAGCAGTAATCCCCATTCTTCTTCCTTAATTAGATTAGTGGGTTAATAAAGGGTACAGCAGCAGCAGTTGTAACTGTTAGTAGCTTTCTATCATTTTTTTTTTCCATTGAATTGAATGTTTTGATGATAGTAGTGGATGAAATTAATGTACTAGTACTACGTTGCTGCAGGTGAAAACTGCTTACAAGTCCAAGGTCTGGGACACTCATCCTGATCGCTTTCCTCCTCATCTCAAATCCAAAGCTGAGCATCGTTTTAAGTTGGTAACACTACTACTAACTGCTCTTGCCTAGTGCTAGTAAATACCCAGTACTGCTTTTCTTTTCTTTCTTTTTTTTTTTTTGGTGTCTGTCTAGGTTTGCAGCTTTTTCCCGAGACTTGCTATCCCATCGTATGAGCTTTCCCCTGTAGCAGCTAGTTCTTATACCGTCTCCTTAATTTCTCCCCCCCTCCAAATGCAGATATCAGAAGCTTATGCTTGCCTTCGATCTGGTATTTCCCCTTTTTCTTTACTTTTTTATTCTCTGTCTTTGCTTTCCGGATATACCTATTCCTATCTTTTCATCCACTCTCTCTGATTAGTTTTTTGGATTATTTCCATTTTACAGTTTTACACATTTCTCTTGCAAAATCTCGTGCTATGTAAATAAGGAGATTTTAGCTGACACATAAGATGGACATTGAACCCAAGGGTTCTAGATTCATCTTTAAGTACCTGCTCCTAGCCTCAAGTCTCTATTTGCTTACCTGGTCAATAATCCGAAGCGCTGTCTAAATTTCCAGTATTGATGACTCTATTTGGTTGTCTGTACTTAGTTTTGCTCTTTCTTGCGTTTCTAATGCAAACTTCTGCTGCTCTTTCAAGTTTGACCTGTGACAACCAAGATTTCATTTGAATTCTCTTTTCTACTTAAATTTTGATAATTTCCTAAAAAGTACCACTACATGTTTGGGTTTAGAATATGGAAAGGTGGAATGTGTAATTTACCAAACATAATTATAAACTGCTCTGCCCCTAGTGTAGAACTATTTGTTCACTAAAGGCTGATAAAACCAAGGATGTGGATCATCCTAACCGACTAGGATCTGATATCTTGTACTAATAATGTGTCAATGCTTCAATCACTAGCCAGAAATTTCGAGCCCTTGTTATTCACAGTTCACCAAAACTTTGCAGATCCTAATATAATTTCCATAATTATGCTGGACAAAATGGTTCCTTTGGGTGTTACCTCTTGAAAAGCCATATTCTGCTTGTTGAGCTGCTTTTGTCATGATCTGTGCTAAATTGAGGTGTGGGGATATCTGGGGTACACAAACAACTATTGACGCCACAACTTGACTGCATTATTGGATTGAATATATTAATCTCGAACTCTGAGTCGGTGAGAATATGAGATATTTCGCTCCCACGGGATTTGCAGGTGGTAAACAAGAAAATTTACACAAGGGTAACATGTTGGCCATTGAATGAATTGTGTAAGACTTTTTCTCTCCCACTTGTTATTTATCTGGTAAATGTATTCTCATCCATGATCAGCATCATATTCAAAAGTTGTGAGAAGTGGAGTTCCAAGAGCATGTGGCAGTGGGGGGCATCGCGCTCTGATTGCTGCTCCCTTCCTCCTTATTGTTCTGAGCACTGTTGCTTTTGGAGGATCAATTGTTACCAGGTTATCAGAATCTAATGATAAAGATCTTCATTAGTTAATTAAATTACTGAGTTGGTCTAAGTGGTTATATACTTTGTTATGATATGCATCAGGTCTTACAAACGACAAAAGGAGGCTTATCCTTCTCATAACCCTTTTCTGCCTTGATCATAACCACCAGGCAGACCATCTCGTTTTAGCAGTGTATGGGTTCTTGTCCAAAACTTTTACATGTTAGAAGTTCATTTTCTGCTGTCTTTGCAATTCTAAGGTGTTGGTGCAAACCAACCATATACTTGGTTGTCATTGTCTTCAGTTGAATAGGGATACAATCTTCTGACAAATTAATGCTCTCAATAGGATTCATTATTGCAAAATTTGAGCCTGAAAAACTACTTTATACCTAAGACTAATAAGGGCCATTTGACAACTATTTGGTGTTTTGGCCCCTTTTTTTTTCATTTGGAAAATCTGAAATCTTGATAGTGATTTTATCAAGGAATATAAAAATAAAAAAGGAAGGTGGTATCTACACTATTACCTGACCTTTTGTATGTGTATCTGAAAATCCAGAGTTCGACCAATTAGTTGCTGTCTTCTATTCCTTCATTTTTTCACATTTAGGATTATCTCGTCGGTCTTAATTGGAATGTATTTGCTGTTGTTGCCCTTCATAATTGTTGAAAGCAACCGAAGAGATTGATGCTTTGTGCTCAAGAATTCATACTCGGTGCCTTATGTTCTTTTGGTGTGTTCCACGCAGCTTGTGTGGGTTGGGCAGTTTGTTTCTCCGTTTTTCAGTCAATTTCCATAGCCTTCAACAATTTTGTTTGAACCAGTGCACTGAAGTAGCTGGGAATGTTTAAGGTGTTTGTTATTAGAGGGCATGTTGTGCTGTAAGAGTAATTCATTCTTGTGTGGGATTTAAGAGAACATTTTGATCTGGGGTTAGACCTCTATTCATTGTTTGGCCTTTTCAGTTTAATTGTTCTGCGAGATTTTTGGTTCACACATTCTTTTGGCTGTGGATGATGTCATGCAAATGAATAACTGACATATATATTTACCAAGTTTTTTTTTTTTCACTTGCAATATTAATCATCTAGAGTGGAAGATCTTGGCTGTGTGATGTTGGCCCGGAGATATGGCGGATCGAGATAAGGTGAAAATTATGCTGATCAAGAACAGGAGTCTAGCAAATTAAAATAAGTTGTGGACGAGCCAGCAAGGGTGATAAAGGAGATCCTTTGGGATATTAGAAGCATTGTTGTTGGTTGGAGACCACTAACCAGGCAACTGGAAACATCTAGACTTAGTTTTAGAGCTAGGTGTTTCCTTAGGCTGTGGCTGATCCTCTCTAATGTGCATATGTAAATAGTTAGCATACTTGTTTTAAAAAAAAAACTTGTTTCAATTAGTTTTAGGGGTCTCCAAGTCCAATTGTTAACCATGTCACATATTTTAGTGTCGCGATCAAATAATGACGCATATTGACATGAAGGTGATCGTAATGCATGAGGAAAATCACGTGGTTACAATATATACCATGTGATATTTTTGAAACCTTAGGGGTGTTAGGTGATATTAGGAAAAATCTTAAGGAAGGTATCTGATATTATCCCAAAATAATAATCCTACCTAAGCATTTTTTGTGTTGTACAAACTAGGGCTGCACATGAGTAGAGCCGATCATGAGCATCTCGAGTTATAACTCAATTCGAGCAGCTCAAGTCAAAGTTCAATTCGACTTCAAGTTAATCAAGTCGAACTCGAGTTCGAATTTGAGTTCAAAGATATTTAATTTGTTAGCTCACGAGTCAATTTGATTTTATATATTTTCATTTTTATTTTTTATTTTAAAGTGAAATTATATATATAATATTTTATTATTTGTTTAGAAAAATTATCATTTTATTTACTTTTAAAAAATTAAATAACTATTTTTTTTTATTTTTTTAAAACTCGAACTCGGCTCGAATATGAGTCGATCTCGAACTTTACATTGAGAACTCTTCAAGCTTGAATTCGAGTTCGAACTTGATAAGATTAACTTGAGACTTGACTCGATTCGTTTGAAATCCTAGTACAAACGAATGACTGCAGTCCTAGTACCTAGTAGTCTGGCTTACAGGAGTAGAAAAGTTTGTTGAGATGGTTCTCACAGCATGTGGTAATTCCTAAGTCAACGAAACAAAGTCTTATATTGAGAGGAAGCAGCGGTAAATTGGCAAATCAAGATATGCCCAAGAAAGGACAAGAGTACTTGCGTTGCGATTATGCGTTTCTTAAAGAAGCGGACAAAATGGTTGTGCACTGTAGTAACGCTTGAAATTAGCAACAGGCAATAATAGAGAGAGGACATCAGTTATGTAAGGACATAAGTTTTATGATGGCTAGATTCCGGTGGGGGGAAGAGAATGGCAGGAGCAAGATGCATTGGTGGTGCTCCTAGAATAAGCTTACTAAGGACAAGATTAGAGGGGGATTGGAATTCGGGGACCTACAGGATTTTAATAAGGCACTTTCGACAAAGCAAATTTGGAGACTAGTATCATGCCCCAATCTGTTGGTAAGCAGGATTATGAAGGCCAAGTATTATCCAGACAGCTCAATATTCCAATGCAAAGTGAATCAAACAGCCTTCTGGATCTGAAAAAGCCTGACAAGTGTAAGAGAGGAAGTAGGGAAAAGCACTTGGAGAAGAATAGGGAATGGCGAGCACTTGAATCTGGAAAGACGGATTCCTAACAATAAAGATGGGAAACCAACAACCAGCAAGCCTTAGAACTGCAGATTACAAAAAGTGGAGGTGCTGATAACTAATTTCAAATTGAATAAACATCTGATTTTTAGAACCTTCAATGGAAAGGATGCTGCAGAAATTTTGAAGATTCCAATTAGCCTAGCAGGAAGAGAAGACTGCAATTTCTGGACTAAGAACAATAATGGTCAATATTTTGTCAAGTCAGCTTACAAGGCTTTGAGTAAAGGAAAGGAAATAACGCAGAGGGAACTCAGATGGCAAGGGGAATCAAGCATCACTGGACAAAGAGATAAGGAGTGGAAGCAGAAGTGGAGACTGAACATTAAGAGCAAATTAGAGACCTTCATGTGGAAGTGTTTGAACAAAGCTCCCCTAGTGAATGAACTGATATATTGTGGGATCAGAATGGGGGAGCCACTATGTAAGATATGTGGGGAAGAAGAGGAAACAGTGGAGCACTTGTTCTTTTTCTGCAATCAAGCAAAGAATGTGTGGAGATTGGCACCATTGCATTGGGATGCACTTGCAGATCACAGAGGAAACTTTAATAAATGGCGGAGTGGTCTGATGGAAGCTACAAGCAGGACAGAAGGAGATAACCACCAAGTACTCATTGTTAACATTCTTTAGCAACTGTGGAAAGCTAGCAACGAGAAGGTGTTCAATAGTAGATACAGTCACACCTTTGAAATTGTACAGAAAACTCATCTAGAGTGGCTGGAGTTTACAGAAGCTCATGTAAAAGACAAACGAGTGAGCATTTAGAAAACAATATCAGGGAATGAGTAAGGACAGAACAGCAATGATGAAGGGAACTTGATGAACATTGTAGTGGAGGTAGGCAAGCAGGATGAAGGAAGGCCACTAGGAATTGGAATAGTGGCTATTCAGGCCAATAATAGACATGTAGCTTGGGCCACCAGGGAAAGAAGCACAGGGAATAGTGTGTTGGATTATGGTGAAGCGATCAAACAAGCATTGTGTAAAGTAAGGGAGAAACATTGGCGAGACGTGAATGTGCAAGTTTCATCTTCTCAATTGCTGCGTTGTTTGAAGGCGAACAAAGTGAAAGACATCAAACTTTTTGCTCAAATGGAGGACATCCAAATGTTAGGATCATTATTGTTTATGAAATACTCATTTGGCTTGGCATCTCACCAAAATAGAACGACCAGTAGTATAATTAGCTTTTATTCTACTAAGTTAGTACAAAATGAGGAATACTTGAATTCTCAATGTCTAAGTACACGTTTGTAAAACTCAATATGAGCCTTTGTTTAAAATTGTATAGTTTGTTTTGATATCAATAGTATTTCTAATGTTTCTGTAAAAAAATATATAGAGAGAGAGAGAGAGAAAGGAAGCAGCGAAAACAAAACAGGAGAGTGGGTACTGTATATGACTTACAATTTGTCAGGGTTCAACTGTATAATTTTAGATTTGAACTCAAATCCTATGTTAGTGAGTTTGGTTTAACTAGGGGTGGCAACGGGTACACAGGCCCATTCCACGGAGGAGTCCCTCCTGGGACGGAACGGGAGTTTACATGCTCCGTTCCCCATACTAATATAAAGTTTTTTAGATAAAATGATGATTTGGTTATTTTTAGCTTACTTCAATTTTTTAACATATTGTAAGTTGTTTAAACAAATATGATGATTATAAGTTAGATTTGCTTTTAAAAGTAGAGAAATGAATTAAAAATGATTTTTAACTTTGATGATCTAATCAACGTCGACCCCCGGGACACGGTAGAAGAATACGAGCTGGGCAATGACGTGGTCCCATTATTAGTTGAATGGGATATCAATCATGTATGAACTTCAACGATCAACAAATCAATCAGCCACTTACCATCTCTCTCTCTCGCTCTCACTGAAGTCTGAACTTAAACGAAGCCTTATCCATCAATTACCAATTTCTCTCCCAGGCTGGCTGGCACTTGGGTATGGATATGATTATAAATAGTTGCAGAAGCAGGTCACCTCCCCATTCCAAGACTAGCCCAGTAGTACAATGGTTCTTGCTAAGCGTTTACAGTCAAAAATCACACAGCATCAAAATAATCTTCAAGGCCCAAAAAATGAAATTCAGCAGTAAGATAGATAAAAAGTGCATTCAAAACGCATTTACAAGCCCACAACGGAAGACGTATTTGACATCTTCTCACCATCTTTTTTGAGTTTTTGACACTTGAAGAAACCCTTCATTAATTAAGAGTACCTCTCATTGCACAGCAAAAAACAATACCCCACTCAGATCTTGCCCAGCTTCCCATACGCAACATGTAGGAGGACACCACAAGCGAAAATGAGCATAACACCAAAATCATCCCATAAATAAATCTCATCAGATTTATCCATGCAGGAAAAAAAACCCGGCTCCCACTGAAAATACCCTTCCCTTGTTAAGATTCCAGATAGTTTAGCTAGCAACTTTTAAAAACAAATCCTTCACCAGATTGGTAATTTATCCTAATGGGGTGGGTATTCACAGCTTTATCACAGTGAAGAATCTTATGCCGGATGAAGGCATTCCATAAAGTTCCAAAGCTAATTTGAGAATTTTAGACACCTGAGGTAAAAATACTACTAGTATGTGCTAATTTGTTTAAGGTCTAGGTTCACAATAATAATGTCTGGAATCTTAAACTCTAAAACGAATGACCAGGGAAGAATACCTGTACCACATACTTCGTAATACTTGTAACATGTCGTGCTGTACCTGTTACCAGTTCATAAATTTTGCATCAAAGAGAACCCGTCTTTCAGTTCCAGACTAACTGACCTTGTATGCAAAACACCTGTTACGATGCGATACAATCTCTCAATCAAATCAATCACGCCTGATTTTCTGGAAGAGTGACAGTGATTGGCTGCCATCCCGATTGAGCAACTATTACCCACCTCCTGACGTTGATTATCATGTACAAAACCTGAAGTACCTCACCCAGTGACAAATCTTTCAAGCATCCACTTTTCAGAGTCAAAGCTGCTTCATACCTGGACAGCAAAGCTTGCAACATTGAAGTGAAGCTCAGACATTTGAATGTTTAAACTGTATCACCACCATACCGAAATGCAATTCAATTACCTGCTCTCAGAAGCCATCAGTGCTGAACGTCCATAGGAAGAAGCAAGGAACTGCTGAATCACGTCCCACATCGGTTTTGGATACTGTTTGGTGTTACTATCAATGGGGTTGACACACTTCCATAACCTCTCAAGCCTACCAACATATAGCTGTACGTCTCCTAGATTTTGCTTTACAATCATCTGTTGCTCAAGCGCAAAATCCAAGGC